ATCCCTTGAACTTGCAGGAGCAACGCCCACCTGTGGCAGTCGGGGCTCCTGTTCAGTAATGCCAGTGGGGACATAGGAGTCACAGGTTTTGCTTTTATTATTATTATTATTATTATTATTATTAAACATAACCAGGGAAATGAGGAATCCTTGTTAGGAAGTGACTTTGCTTGTTCAATTTTTGTACCTCCCAGAAAAAGAAATGCTAGGTTTCCTCTGAAATACACTCTAAATTCTAGGCAAAGGGATGCAGAAAAGTTCAGGGCAAGGAATTATAATTTCATAGCCAGGGATTAAAAGAAAAAAGACCAGGAGCTTCTTTAAAGTGAAATTCTGATAAAATAGTTGAAAATTATCTTATTTAGGAAGAAAAGGAGGGTCATCTGAAGAAACCAATGTGATTGAACACATTGCTTTTTGATAAGCTTAGAGTTTTAGAAAGAAGAAGGTGAGAGGTGACATAACTAAGACTAAATATAGGGGTGGCCCAGAACTGCAGGAAGGGTGTCCTGAAGGTTAATGCTCAGCATAAGCTAGGGTCTGAAGAAAAGACTGAGGATGGACAATAAAATGCTCTAGAGCAGTGATTCTCATCCTTCCTAATGCTGCGACCCTTTAATACAGTTCCTCATGTTGTGGTGGCCCCCAATTTCATTGTTACAAATTGAACATAATTAAAGCATAGTGATTAATCACAAAAAATATGTAATTATATATGTGTTTTCCGATGGTCTTAGGTGACCCCTGTGAAAGGGTTGTTCGATCCCCAAAGGGGTCGCGACCCACAGGTTGAGAACCGCTGCTCTAGAGGAATGTGCAGAGTGAGAACAGCAAGGGAATGGCAGTTAGTTACATGAAAGTAGTTGGTGGCCAGAAAGCCTATTTTTCTTCTAAGGTTTCCTAGCAGGGGATTGCTAACTTAGAAAGGGTTAAATTAAAAAAACAACAACAGCAGGCTACCAGATGCAGGCCAACAAAAACGCAAGGCCAAGAGTGTTAAGCAGGTAGTAATAAAGCATGTCATTGCTTTAAAGTCTCTAACTATCCACTTGCAGACAAATGGAAAGGATTTAGAATTAGTTGAGATGACAGAATCCTGGCATCTCCAGGATCTGGGAGAACAGGACGGGTGTGAAATGAAGCTGTTGAGTGAGGTATTAGGCTATAACAAATACCACCAATTATTGGCTTAAAACAACACAAATTTATTATCTTTTAAAAAATATATATTTTATTGATTTTTTACAGAGAGGAAGGGAGGAGGATAGAGAGTTAGAAACATCAATGAGAGAGAAACATCAATGAGCTGCCTCCTGCACACCCCCTACTGGGGATGTGCCTGTAACCAAGGTACATGCCCTTGACTGGAATCGAACCTGGGACCTTTCAGTTTGCAGGCCGATGCTCTATCCACTGAGCCAAACCAGTTAGAGCACAAATTTATTATCTTAACCATTCCATAGGTTGAAGTCTTCACTGGGTCTCACTGGGCCAAAATTAGGTGTCAGCAATGCCTAGAGGAGAATCCGTTTTCTTGCCTTTTGTAGCTTTTAGAGCTGCCCACATTCCTTAGCTCATGGACCTGTTTCATCTTCAAAGCCAGCAGTAGCTGGTCAAGTCTTTCTTCACAGCACAGCACATCATATCACATCACATCACATCACATCACATCACATCACATCACATCACATCACATCACATCATCACATCACTCTGACACTGATTCTTCTGCCTCCCAGGGCCTTGTTCTGCCCAACACAAGGAAGAGGAAGAGGTGGATTCGGAGCATTCTGCACTGACTCTTTGAAGTTGATTCCTGCCCAAATTCTAGGTTCACTTGATTAGCAAAGTTTGAGAGGAAAGGAGAATCTCCAGTAACCTGGATAGATTCACTAAAAACAAGCCATGCTAAGCTAACCTTGTGTTTTGTTCAATTTAATTTTTTATTAAAATGCAATATACACCAAGAAGCAGTACACATTATAAGTGTACAGCTTGATGAATTTTCACAAATTGAACACACATGTAACTGGCATCTACGTCATGAAAGCAGCCCTAGAGCCCTTCCTGTGTTCCTCCTGGTCACTCCCCTCTGTCCCACCAAACACACACAAAGGGAAATAAGTCACTGTTCCGACTTCTAGTAGTATAGATTAGTTTTGCCTGTTTTTAGGTAAATGGATATAAAGGGTACGTACTCTTCTGTGTCTGGCTTGTTCACTTAATATGTTTGTAAAGTATATATATATAATGGCAGTGGGTAGTTTATTCCCACATGCAGACATTGACCCACACGCTCAGGTGTCTACCCCACCATGACCCCCAGAAACATAGAAAGACACTTGGATGAGTGGGGTCAGGGTCTGAGGGCCCAAGAGCCTCCATCCTGGGACAAGGCACCAGGTGGTGGTGTGGGCCCAGGTGGTGGTGGTGTGGGCCCAGGTGGTGGTGTGGGCCCAGGTGGTAGGGCAGTGTCCTTTCTCCCAGAGAAAAGTGCAGAGACGGGGCCGAGACCCCAGGCAGGAGGCCACTCTCTGATAGCGATTGGCAGCAGGCAGGCCAGGGGCAGGTTCCTTCCGGATCCTTCCTGAGGGCCCGGCCCGCCAGACTGTTCACAGCTCTCAGGAGGTGCGGGAGCCAAGGTGCCACTGGCTGGCTGGGCATGATTCATCCATATTTTTGTGTGTGTAGTAGGTGGATTATTCTCACTGCTGTTTAGTATTCCATTGTATTGATTTAGCCACTCTACTGTTGATAGGTATTTGGTTTGTTTCTAATTTTTGACAGTTACAATGATATAGTTATAAACAATCTAGTATAAATAGGTACTAATTTTATTTGAATCATTTGATAGATTGTTAGAACAGAGACATGTGTACACAGTTTTCAGAGAGGTTCTTGGCAAACTCTCATGATATTCTTGTTGACCAGCTGGAAAAAAGTGGACTCGGAATAGTTTGGTGGATTCCTGATTGATGTTCTGGAATAATACCAGCATACAGGAGGGTCTATCGCAATAGATTACAGGGCTCTGCCTATACTGGTCAACATTTTTATCCAGTGAAGTTAGTTCAAGTGCCTTCAATTTTGTATTTGAAATGGAAGGCATTTGAACTGACAAAATTAAGGTAGATGGGACAGATGCCTAGAAATTCACAAAGGAATGTGAAGTGCCATATTTGGGGATTTTTAAAAAATTCATTTTTATAGGCCCATTAAAGGAGAGGGAAAAGTTCATCAGTTTCAGGTGGGAAAAAGGGAGTTGTAGTTGACAGTGAATTCAAACTGCAACTCCACAGGCTGCAAATTGTCTGAGGTTTCCTGTGTGTATCTCACGTTTTCAGGGAGACACTGACAAAGTGAAGTGTTGTAAATGCAGAGGAGAGAATTGGGATGGTGAATAGTCTGGAAGCCATATTTGTCACACAGGAGATTGAAGAAACTGGATTATTAGCCTGAAAGAGGGAAGGCTCAAGGGGGACAGGATGTAAACATTTAATGATAAGAAGGGCCCTTATGTGGAAGAGGCTTTAGCTTGATTCAGTGTAGCTCCAGAGGAGAGGCCTAGAACTACTGAGTAGAAATGGCGAGAAATGTGTTTTTGGGTTAGTGGAAAGAAGAGCTATTGATCTCTTTTAAAAAAATGGAATGAGCCCGGTTGGTGTGGCTCAGTGGTTGAGTGTTGATCCATGAACCTGGAGATTTCCAGTACAATTCCTAGTCAGGCACATGCCCAGGTTTCGGGCTTGATCTCCAGTAGGAGGCAGCTGATGGATGATTCTCTCTCATCATTGATGTTTCTATCTCTCTCCCTTTCTCTGAAATCAATAAAAACATAATAAAAAAATGGAATGATTTTTCTAGTTAAGTATTGAGATTTTTAGTCCCTGGGCATTTGAAACAGAAAATGGACTCAATAGTGGCCTAAATTTTGTGTGTTACATTATATGTATTTAAAACTCGGTGCTGGGAGAATTATAGGTTTATCATTCTTTTTCAGGGACTTCTTAGTTTGGGCATCTACACTAAATCTGGGTACCTGATTCTGAATGGGCCTGCAGGCTTCGTTCTGTTCTGGATCTACTTAGGCGGTTCTTTCCTGGCTTTTAGTTCCAGAGTTGATGCTGGGCCTTAGTGCCTGAACTACTCCAGGAGCCCATGGAGACTGGGTTTAGATGCTTATAGTAGTGACTTCTTCACAGCTTCTCCTTTATCCAAAGCAGGTGTCAAAGCAGTAATGGAGCTGCCCCGAGTCAAGGGTCCAAAGTGATTTCAACCTGACTTCCTGTGGACTTGGGTCAGTGTTGGGTGGAGACTGAATTGCACCTAGAGATAGGAGGGTAGGGCATCTCTGTCCTTGAGATTAACTTGAAGCTGCCTCTAAATTCTAACTCCATGCCCCCCCGCCCCCCTCCCTGCTTCTGAAGCAGGAGGTGGGGCCTCCGGTCAGCTGTATCCGCTGACTGGGGACAAAGAGCCCAGTCAGCACTGCTGCTTGCCATACCATTTCCTGTTTCATGGCCAAGAGGCCCTGGAGGAAGCTGGGTTTGGGAGAAGGTGCTTTCTTTAGGCAGATCCTCTGCTTTCTGATTTCTTTCCATAGGATTCCCTTCTCCATTAAAACCAAGCCCCTGTGCTCAATACAGGGAATAGATCATGGCAATATGGTGGGACAGTGGCTGAGAAAGAAGGTTGAGTGTGGGCGGGTGGTGACTGGTGGGTTAAAGGAGGGATACAAATGGATGGAGTACAGAAGCAGTAGGGGACTAAAATGTAAACAATCCATGTGTTTTCATTTCAGAATTTGTTATAATAAAGGGCAGAGCTGAGAGCAGAACCCGTGGCACAGGGCTACAGTCTGATTCTGAACCAGAACTAGTCCCGTAGCCTACTCCAGTTTGGTATTATGGCCCAAGGTTACTCTGATGGCTAAGCATGGATTTTATGGCAGCATCAGTTGTCCCTGGGTTCCATTTGTAAAACAGAAGCAGAATCCCAGGGGTTAGGGGCAAGGGTTATAGGAAGAAGAGAAGGGCTAGAGGCAGAAGTACAGTGGGGCATAAAGGATGGGTGACTAGCTGAGGAGGATCAACAGATATGAAAGATTTGTGGAGGGTGAGATAAAGACACTTTAGCCATTTTGTAGGGTGCTTGTGGAGACTGTATGCTTCTGTCTTTAATTATTAACAGCATTGGTGAAAAAAATAAAAAAAATGCCCAGTCGGTGTGGGTCAGTGGTTGAGAGTTGACTTATGGACCAGGAGGTCACGGTTCGATTCCTGGTCAGGGCACATGCCCCAGTTGTGGGCTTGATCCCTAGTGTGGGGCATGCAGGAGGCAGCTGATCAGTGATTCTCTCATCATTGATGTTTCTCGCTCTCTCCCTTCCTTTATAAAATCAACACACACACACACACACACACACACACACACACACACACGGCACTGAGAAGTTACAGGTACATGTTTTGCCCAGCCCTGTGATAAGATTCGATTGTTTGTTGTCTCTTTTATTAGGCAGGCATGCAAGTGCTTGCATGGGACAGAAATGTCCTTTTGCTAGGAAGAGCAGAAAAGAATTTGGGCA